ATTTTTTTAAATTTAAATTTTTTTTATATATTTCAAAAATTTTTTTCTCAAACGTACCAAAAGAGGATTGATTGAAGTTTCCAAAAACTCACCTTCCATTCTCTGTATCATCATTAGTTCATGAGATATCGATGATAAAAAAAAGTGACTACTCAATAGCCGATATCTCAATGAGAAATAATCGTACAGAAAATAAAACAAAACCAAATTGAAGCTGAGAAATCAGGCTAAATGACCCTGGCATTTATTAAGCCAGAAAAAATTTTTTTGAGTCCATGGGCAGTTTCGAAAAAAAAAATCGTAAAATTTTGCCTTGGACTATTTCTTTTGATTGCGCCAAGATTGATGTTCAAAAAAATTGTTCATTTCAAGATTTGAAAACTAGAATCTTCAAGCTTCAAGATGATCTTTCTATTTTTTCTATACGACCATTACTCACGAAATTACAGCCCTTTACAAAAAAAACTGGCAAGTTACAGTTTAGATATAACGAAAAGTTATATTTCTATCGTTTTTATTTCTTTTGGTTAGGAAACAATTTAATTTTTTAAAAATTAAAAAAATAAGTAAATGCCTCAACGTATGTTGTTGGATTATATTTGAAGGTTCCTTATCTACAATTTATACATATTAATACTATTAATTACATTTTATAAAGTAATTACCATTAGATATTTTTTAGAATGTCAGAAATAATTAAGAAATGATTTTTTCAGATATTGTATCTCATACTTTTACTAGCTGCTGTAACGACAGCATGGCCGAGACGTAATGGAGGTGGAGGACGCGGCCATGGAGGAGGCCGTGGGGGAGGTCATGGGGGAGGACGTGGTGGTGGTGGAGGCGGCGGTGGTGGTGGCGGCGGCGGCGGCGGTGGTGGTTTCGGAGGTGGTTTCGGAGGTGGTTATGGATATGGGGGAGGTTCTGGCAGGGGACATGGAAAATAACCTATTAGAAATGAAATAAAAAATATTTTTTTAATAAATGTTGCTTCAGTTTTTTTGTTGTTTCTTGTTCAAACATATTTAGAAAAGTTGAGAAAGAATGAAGAAAAGAAAAGAAAAACTTTATACAGGGTGTTAGAAAATTGACAGCCTTAATTTTAACAGACGATAGAATACATTAAAATAAACAAAAAAACCTTAGTATATGACAGGTCCTAAACACAACCATTTTCGAGAAAAAATTATCACTCTCCAATTTGATGTACAAAAGTTCCATAAATTAAGGAATATTGACATAACTGCGTGCATAGAATACCATAAAATACAATGTTTATCACTTTTTTGAACTTCTTATGCTTAATTCTAAAACATAATTGTAACACATTTAAAATTCGATAAAATTCATATCGAGCAATGTGACAACGGCGCGGCGTGTAACACGAGGTAATACTAAGCAATACGCAATTCAGTTGGTATTGGTATCTGGAAGTGGACCGTGTTGGAGTGTTTTTTGCGTACCTACCACTATTTCCTTTTTTTGAGGTGTTTTCCAGCTTTTTTTATTTTTGGTAAGTCCCTAAATTATTTTTAATAAGTATAAAACATAAAAAAACATAAAACATACTACAGAAATGAGACAACTCCCAAATCCAAAGCCAAAGGCTGTGCGGAAGGGGGCTGCACTTAAAAAAACGCGGACAAACACTCATTATCCATCGACATTGCCAGTACCGACGCCGGGGATCGAATCCGGACCAGAATATGAAGCCTGGCCGAGAAATACTTGCCACCGCACTCTCGACCGACTACTCTACCGTGGCGATATGATTATTTGGACGACGTGAATCTTTGGGTACTTTAATTACATATTTTTCAAATTCACAATTTGATTAAAAGTAAGTTCCTGATTTAAGAAATTCATAAGGTAATTACTAAAATTCATTTACATATTTTATTTATAGATACATTTTATTTTATTTATTTAAAAACTGGAAAACAATTGTCTTGAAATTTACTAAAATGTTTTACAAAAATAGTTGTTTACATTCTTTCCGTAGGACAAGTCTGTGGTGTGCATCAGCTGTGCAGCGCTGTTGTCACGTTGTGATGAAACTCCTCAATATTAATACTCGCTGTATTTTGAAAACTGTTAATCTTACGCTCCTATAATATACAAATTTTTCTTCATTTATGATTACTCTATCTCATGCTGAAGTTATGGCAGTCACACTTTTTACACCCTGTATAGGTATATTTTATTCGTTGTTATCATTTTAGTTCTATTTCTTTGGTAGAATTTCAGTTAAACAGTTACCTCATGGTTTAAATTCTGCCTATACCCTGTATTATATTTGCTTTTGGTCTGTACTCACAGAAAATAGGTATAGGTATAGTCCTTCCGATGTCAGTTGAATATGTAGAAAAACCTCTGGTAATACAATTTAATGAGTTTCATAGGCGTCCCTAAAAAAAATTTCAGCTAAAGGTAAAAAATTATAATAATTTTTATATAATGTGTAGAAAATTTCTATTATATATTCATTTGGCCAACAACATATTTTAATTATTTATGTCCTCAAACAATTTTATTATATTCATGGTAAATGTCGTTTTGTTCTGGTTCAAAAGGTCTCCAAAATGCCATGTTGTGATAATATTAGTAAACAAAATATCCCTCTTATTTCTCCCTTTCGCAATTGTAATATGAATGATTGATAGATGGTGCCTATAATAAATTAAAATTGCCTGATTCACACCAAATTCCGCACTGCTGCACTGCACTGCTGGGCAATTTATGAACCACTTGTCACCTGCTGTGATTTATTGCCCAGAATCCCAATACAACTGTGCTCGTTTTCCTTTGGCCGCGCTCGCATTCTTCAACTGAGCGTATACATTTCTATTATCTCCACGTTTAGTTCGACCAGACCTATACATGGGGATGGCTAAATAAATATGGGAACAAGTTTTTCAAATATTTCAATGCCGAGTTGCTGCTTAGCGACCGAGCATACCTTGAAATTATTGGTTCTTCAATTGACTTCGGAAAAACTATACTAAAAAGAAACATTGTGCCCCTATTTCATATTATTACGTTTATGTTTATTACAACACCTTATTCCAAGTTTTTTATTACCTATGTGAGAAATAAATGTATATGATTGTATCCTCATTATTTTTGTCTTTCCGATGTCTATACAGGGTGTTTCTAAAATAGGGTTCTAAACTTCTGCTGCGTTTATAACTCATTAAAATAAGCCAAAAAGTTCGTATTAACATGTGCCCTAAAACACACCCTTAGGAAGTTGAGCCCTTTTAAGGTCATATAACTTCCTAAGGGTGCGTTTTAGGGCACATGTTAATAGGAACTGTTTGACTTATTTTAATGAGTTATAAACGCAGCAGAAGTTTGGAACCCTATTTTAGAAACACCCTGTATATGGTTTAAGTATTAAAATATCAGAACAAACCAGGTAAGGGTTGTATAGGAAATTCTACAATGTCTTCAGATATGAAAAAGTTCTCTCAACATTTTGGATTGCACTGGCTTCAGTGCCTTTTCCAAAAATACGTTTGGAAAACACTTCTAATTCTTTCAGCCTTCTTTTAATGGTATTCCTCCCACATCTCATAAAATGCTGAGCCTCCCCAGCAGCGGATTTATATTTTCTTTCTGATTTGGAAAAAATATGCACGAGATAATCATCTATCTGTCAATGTCAAAACATAACCTAACAAACTATGTTCCCTTCATACTCGACGTGTTCTTTTCGTGTAATATTGTCATTTTAAAGTAGTATTTTAAAACACCATCTTATTTTAAGTGATAATTATTTATTTATTTATTTATTTTGAGAAATTTGAAATTCAAATAAATATAAAAAGAAAAACCATTTCAAAATAAATTCAATAATATTTTCATTCAACTTACTTCGTTCAGCATAATTTTAATAATATTGCTGAAATTCCTTATTGATATAAATAAGTAGTAGTCATAGTGAAACAAAAAAATATTTAGGCATTGTAGAATATTTAGTTAGGTACGTATTTATAAAACTAGATAATATTAGTATTACTTAAGAATGTTGAATACATAATTTATAACAGTGCATTTCTTCATAGCAAGCCAGGAATAATTAACGTCAAGAATATTATAATTATTATCTAAAAGTGCAGAATTGTGAAACAGAATAATTACAAACTACTTAAATATTCAAAATACCGATATTGCTTAATCTCTACAACAATTGAAGGTAATCGACAAAAATAAATTGCAACTTTAGGGCTACTTGGTAGAATGAAGAGCAGACTTGCAAAATAACCTCCACATTCCAAAGTGTGGGCTATCGCACAAATAACTCCTTATGAGAGCAAATATGTTTCTTCTGAAAAAAATAAGAGTTTGAACATGAAAGGAACGAAAAAAATACGTTTCTTTATCCCAAAGATATTTGAAATTAAGGAAGATGCTGTAGTCTACATTTTTGTATAACAAAATTGTAGGAACAAATCCGAAAATGCAATAAAAAAAAGAATAATAGAAATTGGATAGTTCGCAGCTAATCACTCTGTGTAACTGAAAATGTTTTCTAAAATTAAGACGGAGGTTGGTTGGGACGCTCTGTATGTGCAAATCTGATACGATATGTGAAAAATAATTTCCTTGTTTTATAAATAAACAATGACAAATCGATTTTTCATTTAATACCCTTTATTTTATTCTGTATTATTTAAAAGATCAATGACTAGGATGGGCCGGGACTTCCCAGCAGGTTAATCCCATGTTGCAATACACGTAAAATGTCGACTTTGATTTATCGACGTTAATTAACTGTTATTACGGAAACCGTAAGCGTCCTTCTAATTCAATTATTTTGAGACAAAATAAAGCAATTCTCATTGCGCAAAAAATACGTCTCAGTTTTGTCAACATGATTCTCAAAATGAGTAAGATATGTGGTAGACATGAAAATTCCCAGAACAATAACAAATTGAAGAAATTCATCCTTGACTCGACGGAGAATTCATCATCTCGGGTATAAATAGCCTCAATGTATGTAAAAGAAGAAGCAAAGTAATCTTCACTTACGTATCAAGCCTGTGTCAAATTGAGTACTCACAGTTTGTTTATTCGCCTTACATTATGGACCCAATAAGATTTCTAACTGTACGTATAATATAGAGTTTAGTGCAGTGATTTTCGACTAGTGTTTTGTTTTTCTTTGACGTTCCTAATTACTGGATTAATTAACTCGAAACAAAAGTGACAAAGTAGATTTTTAATTCGAACTATTATAATACAGTACTGACAACATAATTTTGAAAATTCGTTAGTGTGAATATTTTGAAATTTCGAAAAATTTGTATCTTTTGAATTGTGTTAAAATTTTCTTAAAAGAAATGCTTCGTTTCGAATATTTTCCAAACGTGCAATGTTCTAACAGAAGATTTATTTTTTTATTTCAAAATAGTGATATTCTGAAAATACAATTATTTTTATCATTTGTCAGTGGCGTATAATTTTTTTTAATATTTACACTTGTTCCCCCTACAAGATAGATTTACACCTTGAAGGTACCTCAAAAAATACATTTTTCGAATATCGTATACTTGATGTCCGTTTTTTGCGCAGCACCTTTTGCATCTCAGTTATCATAAGATATGCAAAAGATAGGCAAAACAGTGAAATTTGATGGATCTTTTTTAATTTAAAAGTTATCCATGGGAAATGAAAAGGGATGGACTTTTTTAATTCGGACATTGTTAGAACACTTTATGGCAAAATCAAATATGTAGTCGTATTAGCTGTGTCTCCAACAAGGACCAAGAAACCATATTCAAATTTTGACCTTATGAACGTCATTTACCTTATTGGATTTTTGCTTTTTCATTCTTGTTAAAATACCAAACTACCCATATTTGCAAGGAATAATTTAAAAACGCAACATCCAACTATTCTAACGAAATGTTTACATCTCTTTTAAATTTTCATTGACAATGTCAAAATTCAGACAACTAAAAATGCAATCTTTACATAAAAGTCAAATATATAATAAAAGTTTAGTAGCACATCTCACTTTTTTTCATGAAAAAATAAAATCTGTCAATATTTCTTTAATACCTAAATTTCTCATGAAAAAGGATCCAAACAATGTCTGCGTTAAAAAATTCGCCTTATCCCTTGTTCACCTAAAACAATAAAAACGAAAATCAAGGTTTTCAGTTTTTCGTTGATAATTTCGAGACGAAAAATTATAGCTTAATTTTCTCTATGATAAGTTATTCATCATGAAATTCTGCAACTATGCTAGTATTTCATCCAACTTGTACCTCTTAAGATAGCTGAGAACCTAATGGTGTGATGTGAAGAAAAGAACCCTATATGTACAGGGTGGGCCACCAGTAGAGTCTCGGTCGCTAGGGACCAAACTGCAAATGTTATAGAAACCTCTTTAGGTGGGTATGTGTAGGTTGATTACGGCTACGTTTTCCCTATACCTATCTCTAATACCGTTAGATATATCTCACAAACAATAAGTTCTATGTATGCAGAAATTTTAATAAAGTTCACCTATTTTTTTACGGTGCTTTCAAAAATGCAGTAAAATACAGAGTGTTCCATTTAAAAATACATAACTTTGATATGGTACGCTGTTCCTGGACACCCTGCATATTTCAAAATAGTTTTAAAATGTAGCCTTAATCAACCTACACATACCTAAAGAGGTTTCTATAACATTTGCCGTTTGGCCCCTAGTGACCGAGGCGTTACTGGTGGCTCACCCTGTATATAACAAACCATTTTTACGTATTAATAATAAAGTCGAACTGCTCTGTATACAACTTTTTTTAATATTTCTTTGTGTGGCAATTTATAATTCAACTTTATTATACGAAAATTAAAATAAAATAAAAATTTAATGGTTTTTACGACTTACAATAGAGTGAAATATATCTAATGACAATATATTTTAATAGTATTATAAATTTGCAATTCAAATTGTAATTAATATTTTAGAATAGTTAAATTAAAAATGCTTTCATTTATATTTCAACTCATTAAAATGTTTTTCTAGCTACCTTTATGTATTTTTAATTAATATTTAACAGATAAAACTAATTTAAATTTTTAAATTACTAGATTAAATTAACTAGGTATTGTTTAATTTTATTTAATCACGTCACTTAAACTCATTAACATTCCTTTTTCTACTATATTTTGTCCTTTGTATGGGTGCTGTATCAATTCATACAATTTACAGGGTGTTAGATTTAACATTGGACCTGAGAATGTTATAGTAATCTTGAAAATAAATATTTATAATATTTAATTTAATAACTTTAGAAGAAACGCTTCTTCTTCGGAGTACAGACTAGTAAAATTTAAAACTTTTGCAACATTTAAACAAAACAAAAAATTGCTGGCCACAACCCATCAAGCTTACCTTGTACTGTACTTTAACGCAAAATAAAAACAATAATTTGTCATGAAATCGTGACATGTACTACAAGAGACATTTTGTATTTGTAATAATTGTAATATAAAGCTTCATTGAGAAATTCTAATCGTTTAAATTAATTCAAAAAATTTCTCCAAAAATCTTATTGAATGAATGCTCTTTGGTACCAAATAGATATGCCAAAATTCATAGATAAGTCAGTTCTAAATAAAAAATAAAACACGTTCCATCTAAATATTACTAATGAAACAACACATACTTGACTATTAACACTAAATAATGGAAATTTTCAAAAAAAATCTTCCATTCCTCTAACACCACCTTCGACAAAGACCAGCACCAGTTTCCGCGTTTTAAGGGTTGCTTTTTCAAGTAATTTAGTTTATTTACTCACCCTTCACAACAAATTAAACAAAATTGGAACCAGTTCATATTTATGCAACATGTAAATGTTTTTTGTGTATTTTTTTGAAACAGCAAGAACATTTCCTAAAACTTATAGATATTTACAATTGTTTTCTAGATAGAAAGTCAAAAAAGATAAGGACAGTAGAATGTTATGTGCATATCCCTGTACAGTTAAAAACTTTCAATTTTGAACAAAAACATAATATTGCACAGTTGTCCATGGTCATTAACTATAAAAATTCTAATAGCACCAGTTGATGCAGGATATTACTGCTTGAAAATTTAAAGCTTGTAATATTTAAATTACAAAATTGGTAAAAAAAAACAAAAATTGGTTTTAAAATATTTTAATTTTTCTTTGAAAAGTACAATATAATTAAAGGCATAATTCAAGAATTTATCGTAGTGCAATTTTTTGTGTAATTAACTTTAACTTTGTATGTCTTGCTTAGATAAATCACCCTGTATATCACTTACAATAGCACATATACTTAGAAATATGAATTTAATTTTTCCTTCTTAATTTTTTTAAATTACAATGATACTAATTTTCTGAAATATTTATTAAATAAATCTTGAGCACTGTTACGCCTTCTTAATATTTACCAAATATATAATTTTAAATAATGCAACGCTTAAGACACGCCCCAAAAAATTAAATTTATTTATGTTTCAGTTGCTTTTAGCGACCATACTGTTAGTGTCAACTGCCTTTTCAGCCCCATGGGGAGGATGGGGTGGTGGCGGTGGTAAAGTAATAATAGTTAAAAAAATTGGCTATGGAAGTGGCGGTTGGGGCAACAGATATTACGGAGGACATAGCGGGTATAGTGGCGGATATGGTAAAGGGTACGGAGGAGGATATGGAGGAGGATATGGAGGCGGATATGGAGGGGGATATGGAGGCGGGTATGGCGGTGGGTATGGTGGTGGATACGGTGGTGGGTACGGTGGTGGGTTTGGAGGAGGATTTGGATTTGGCGGAGGTCATGGAGGTGGATGGGGCAAGTAAAGATGGATAAAAGAAAAATTAGTGAAAAAATTTTAGTGTTAAAAGTTACACCATTTGTACCTAATTGTTTTCCGAGCAGTATTTATTTAATTTTTGTACATTTTCTTTAAATAAAGTTGTATACTATAACAGTGTTATAATTTTTTTTTAGTTATACTTTCTGTTACCTATTACATTGTGCCCACGCTGACTGGAACACCACTAGAGATTTCATTCTTTCTCAGCTTCTTCAGCATTTATTTTCAAATTCACTCTTGTGACATACCACACGTTTTATTTCTGTATTTTTGAGGTGAAATACTCGAGGTGAATCATATTTACGGTAAAAGTTTGTAACCATAGTTTTCAGCTTATTAGTAGTGCAGTGTAACGGAAAGTAAAAGGCAGAAAAATTATCTGAATGAATTAAGGATTTATAAGATCCTCAAAGCTTCAAAAATTTGTACATTGTACATTTATTGTAATTTTTACCCCATATTTTTATAGAAGAGTAAAACTATGACCAAGATATATTAACAAATGTAGGTAATTAAAAATATTTAATATTTTCAAATCATACAAATTAAAATACCTCGAGATTGAACTTAAATAAAATATACAGGGTGTCTCACATTCAAATAGCAGGACTTCAGGATTCAGTAGAAGACCTCATTTTGAGTCTAAAAGTTCCTATATATATATGGGTCCTAAAACGCTTCGTTTCTGAGATACAGGGCGTTCAATTTTATTTTTGTTTTATTTATTTATTTTTTAACTAAATAACCGCTGACAAAAAAATCATCATGTTGCGGTGAAAGACTTAGTATTTGAGGGCAAATAATTTGACATAGAAAATCATCGCTTATTAGTTCCAGTGGTGGAGATAGAGGGGTCTCTATGCATATTTTTATATAAAAAAGTATAGCCGATTTGATATTTTGCAAATGTTTTTGAAAAATATGAAAGAGCATTCAAATTTACCCAGAAAAGGCCCTCTTGTCCAAAGTCGATAGGAGGTGGCGTTTTCAAGAAAAACCGAAAATACTGTTTAGAAGTCAAATAATAATATTTAAACATTGTGTTACAACTAAATTAAATATGTAGTTCAAAAATTCGGTTAAAATTGTTTTTAATTAATTAAATGAAAATAAATACAAAAATAAATAACGGAAACCATATTACATCAAAGTAAACGTTCGAAATGTAAACTATTTTCTTCGATACATAACTGACACCGATGCTGAATAGAACGTCTCATTTGAATTAAGTTATTGTCTCTGATTTCACGGCATGCTTTCCGAATCCGACGAATAAGTTCATCCCTTGTGTCTAAAGTAGTGGTATAAACTCTCTCTTTAATAAAACCCCAGAGGAAAAAATGTAGGGGTGTCAGATTAGGGGATCGGGGAGGCCATGCTACGATACCCCCGCGGCCAATCCATTTTTCGGGAAAGTGGGTATTCAACCAGTTCCTGACATTTCGGCCAAAATGAGCTGGTCAGCCATCAAGTTGAAACCATGCTCGCATTCTTAAATTCAGAGGAATTTCCTCCCACATGTTGGCACTCTCGGTCTCTAAGAACTCTAAGAAATTCGCAGAATTCAGTCGTTGAGATAAGATGTAAGGGCCGAAAAGACAATTGTTATAAACGCCGAGCCAAATATTAACACTAAATTCGTGCTGAAAATTTCGTGGTCTGATTGCATGCGGGTTTTCATGTGCCCACTCATGCTGATTGTGTAAATTTGTCACACCTCGACGAGTAAAACATGACTCGTCGGTCCATAATATGTGTGATAAAAAATTTCCGTCGTTTTCAATTGAGTTAAGAATCCACCGAGAAAAAGCTATTCTATG